CACCTGCAGCAGGGGGTTCAGGATTTGACAGGTGACTTTTCTTACTTGCTCTCCTGTAACTGTGACTTGACTCYGCACACTGAAGAGTTTCTCACTGTCCTGGTGAATCTCACTGGCTGCAGACAGCTCCTGCCCATCCTCAGTAACCCACTGCACAGTAGGTTCGGGGAACCATCCATGTGATCTGCAGTCAAGCTCAAACCCTCGCCCTTGGGGGCCCTGAATTTCAATGAACACTTCCCCGGTACCTTAAAGAAAAGAGAGTTTTTTTAGTGGAGAGGTTTCCAATCATCTCTTCCTTGTATTCACAACTCTTGCTTAACCCTGAGTTTCCTGCAAGTTTCTGCCAGTTCTTCACACAACTTTTCCAATGGTCTTTCTGTGATACCACGCTCCAACTGCTACAAATGCCAAATTCCCTTTGGCTGAGAAAGAGCTCCAGTGTGGGATGGGTTTGCCTCTCAGCTCCCCACTATTTCATGGAGCCAGCAGGGAGAAGATGTGTGGTTGTATGCCTCTTTTGGAATGATCCTGTAGGAGCCACAACCACGTTTGAGAATTGGCAAAGCAGGACACAGAGCACTAAATCCCAGTCAGCTTTTTCTCTGGCACCTCCCCAGTCCATGCCAGGACTACGGGTGGGTACAGATGGTCACACTCAGGGACTGTGCCAAAGCTTTATCTGTGTGGTGAGGTAGGATGCACCACACTMTTTTCTTGAGACATTTTTGTGACATTTCTGAGTCACACTCCTGGTCAAAGCTGGGTTTAATAGGAATTTGTCCTGTGCAATAGTAGGAAATGGGCACTGTCTGGAAGCTTTTTCTCTCTCCTGTCCCAAAAGCATCTCTAATCCCCTTTGGATGAGGGGATTTAGATTCGATGTTAGGAAGAAATTCTTGACTAAGAGTGAGGCACTGGCACAATTTGTCCAGAGAAACTGTGGCTGTCACATCCCTGGAAGTGTTCAAGGGCCAAGTTGAAAGCGCTTGAAACAACCTGGTCTAGTGGAAGGTGYTCCTGCCCATGGCTGGGAAGTTCAAATGAGAAATTCTTTAAGGTCCCTTCCAATGGCATTGTGGAATTCTAAGACTCCCTGATTCTGTCATTCTACACTCTTTTTGATCAGTGAATCCAGGCTGACCAGCTCCTCCTGACATTATCAATACCTGCACACAAATGRTGCTGACTGTCCAGCTGGGGGGAACTGGCAGCCCAGAACATCTCCTTAGCCCCGCTGAGAAGTCACAAGAGGGAGAGCYCCCGTTCCCATCAGTCCCATAGCCAGGGATGCTGAGCACTTGGACATCTCTCAGGTGGGCTCACACCTCCCCAGCAGGGAATAGTGCAGCCCCATGTGGGTCAGAACAGGGCTCAGGCTGCACATGGAGCTTGCAGAACAGCTCTTGGCACAGGTGGTGCATGTGCTGCTGGGAGTGGGGAAGTAATGTGTTGGGTCATATGAGGGGGCATCATCTGGGGGACAGTGACCTTTGGGAGAGTTCCTTCCCTCTCTAGGAGCTTTCCCCCTCTCCCACCCAGCCCAGGGAGTCTCTCCCACCTGCAATGCTGAGYTTGGTGGCTGTATCAGCGCTCCAGTCCCTGGATATCACAATGCAACTGTAAATTCCTTCATCTGCTGGCTGRACATTCTTCAGTGTCAAGGACACGTTCCCAGTGGCAAATCCATCTCCTGGCACTGATGTCCGCCCAGGGTATTTCTGCCTTGGTTCTCCCCCAAACTGCCCATATRTGTAGATGTCCTCTGTGTGTCCATCTGTGATTTTCTTCCATTGCACTTTAGGGTTGTCCAGTGGCTTTGTGGAAGAGATGGTGCAAGGAAGGATTGTATCCTGGCCAACAATTCCAACTACATTCTTGGGAGAGGCGAGCTCAAAATTGTCTGTGAGTGAGCATCTGGCTGAAATCAATCAGAAAATGTACTGGTGTGAAGGAAAGAGATCTAGGAGTAACAGTGTGAAACGACTGAAAGTAAGAGATTAGAGTGAGAAAAGAAGATGATAAAAGTTGCTTAGGATGGGATTATTTTGGGAAAATAGGAAAACATCAAAAGGAAAACATCAAAAGCATAAAAGCATGTGCAGAGCCATTTCATGCAGCTTCCCAGCCAGTTTTGCTCCTTTGCAGCCCTGTGCCACCAGCAGTGGGGCAGCTGTGCCAATGCCAACTCCTGGCACTGGGGCAGGGTTGGACAGGGCAGARCTGCCTCAGCATGGGGCTTCCCTTGCTCCACCAAGCTAGAGAAACCGCAGCTGCAATGGGTTGGATTCCCCAAGAGCAGAGRGGCAGGGCAGCCCCRTTCTTGTGGAGTTCAMATCAGGKCTGCTCAGGAGACCATGACCCWCAGCTCCAGCTCTTCTGATCATCTGCAAACTGGAATGCCCCAGAAAGGAGCAGAGCAGCTCATGGAAGTGTTACCTGRGAGAGGGAWGGCCAGAAGCAGTGCTAGAGCCAACACGAGCCATCTCCTCTGCTCCATCSCTGCACTCCCTGGGGTGGGACAACTCCACAGCTGACCTGGAACAGGCACAGAAGGGAAGTGAGCAAAGAAGGGAAATCCTGGCCCAAACACCTCTGATCTCTCTTGCCTGGCACTTGTCACCAGCTGCGACTTTTGAAGATGCCAAGTGCTCAAACAGTTGAGTTCAGAAATCAAAAAAACTTGTGCCTTTCCAGAGATCTCAATTACCCTTGCAGCTTCAGGGAATTTCAGTCTAATGTACTCCTAGAAAGMTGTGACAGGGAATGCAAGAGAAAATTCAGCCTAGTCCCCACTTCCTGCTGTGAAATTTAATGGACATGTTRACACACCATCTTAAATCTTTGGTTTGGAATCACAGAATCACAGAATCTTTAAGTAAGAAAAGACCTCTGAGATTGTCGAGTCCAATCTTTGATTAAAGACCACTTTGCCAACTAGATCATGGCACTTAGCACCATGCTGAGTCATTTTCGAAGATGTTGACTTTACCACCTCCCTGGTGTCATGATTTGAACTTGACTGAAAGCCAAAAAGCACTCCCATGGCATTCCCTCCCCCACTCACCAGAGAGGCAGAAGGGAGAGCAAAAGCCCAATTAAACACTAAAATTTATGGCTTTTAGWTAAGATAACRTAATTGAGAGAAAGATACATATATGCTCCAGGAAATGATCAGACAGGCTGAATAACTTGTAAAATAGATTTATTACTATAAACTATTAAGAATACTACTGCACCAGGGAGGGGAACAGAGATAGGCAAAAATTTACCAGGAGAAGAAATAAAAACGGACATTTTAAGACACCTGTTATTCTTTCTGGGAACCTGTCTCTCGCAGGTCATCCCTCCCCACCCCTCCACGCCTTCCTGCGCGCAAGAGGGGCAGGGACAAAAGTTTTAACATAGATCAGTCTACTCATTACTATTGTCCAAACTATTGTCCAGCATAATAGGAGAAGGGTCCCTACAGCTCCAAGCTGTGGAAGTTCTTTTCCCAAGGAACAGTCAGTGTATTACTGCTGGTGGCAWGGGATTCTTTTTCTTTACCTYGTGGGAGAAAGGAAAACAGTCCTCCAAGGCCACTCTCCCAAAWCTCCTGGCAGAACACAGCTTCYTCTAAGCATCAACTCACTTCAGACATGAGGGGRGCCCACCTCTTGCCCYGCAGAACACAATTTCTTCTAAGCGTCAACTCGCTTCAGACGTTGGGTTGGGGGGCACCTCTTCCCCCTTTTYGGCTTATGATCAGTCCACTCCACAAAGGCCAGTTTTTTATCTGGGGTGCAGGGCCTCTCTTTTCTATACAGGTCTCCCATTGAGATAGTCCATTTGACTTGTTTTCTCCATGTTCAAGCACCACAGCAGCAACACAGCATCTGTCTTCTTCTTACTGTGATTCTGGGTCTCCATTTATTTTTCCTTACATCTCCTCACCCTCCTCCTCTGTCCTCCCCCAGTGCATGATGCTAACAACCTATAAACTAAATAGCAGCCGCACTCTATCTTGTTTTGAATTCTTCTTAAGTACAAGACCATACGTCATCACAGAGGTGTAGCCAGCATGTGCAATTGGCCCAGGCCTGGCCAGCAGCCTGTCCATCAACCTCAAAGTCATAATGGATTGGKTCTAAAACACAGGGGCAAGGCTCCTTTTGCTGGAGAAGAAGGAGAAAGCTTCTAGAACTTCCTCACAGGAGCCATCTTTGTGGTTTCTTGGTTCCCATCCCCCCACCACCRAAAAACCGCAYCRAGTAAAACCAGGACACCTGGGYAGCCTGTTCCAATGCCTGACCACCCTTTCAGTGAAGAAATTCCTCCTGACGTCCAATCCAAGCCTCCCCAGTGCAATTTAAGGCTTTAATTTCCTCTTGCCCTGTTGCTAGTTTTCTGGGAAAAGAGACCAATCCTCACCTTGCTGCAATTTCCTTTCAGGAAGTTATAGAGAGTGATAAGATCACCCGTTCTCCAGATGTGTTGAGTTTGTGTGGGCAGGTTTTGTTAACAGGGGGGTTACAGGGGTGCCTTCTGTGAGAAGCTTCCAGAAGCTGCCCCCATGTTCAGAACCAATGCCAGCCAGCTCCAGGACAGACCCACCACTGGCTAAGGTTGAGTTCAGCACACATTGTGGTGATGCCTCTTAAATAGCATATTTAAGAAGGAAAAGAAAGATATTGTGCCAATGTAACTGGGGCCAGAGAAAAGTGGGGTGAGAATGTGTTAGAAGTAGAGCTCTGCAGGCAACCAGGTTAGTGCAAAAAGATGGGCAGGAGGTGCTCCAGGCACCAGAGTGGAGATTCCCCTGAGAATCCGTGGGGCAGCCCATGGTGAGGCAGCTGTGCCCATGCAGCCCATGGAGGGCACAGAGTGCAGAGATCTACCTGCAACCCTTGGAGGTGCCCCACACTGGAGCAGGTGGATGCCCAAGAGAGGCTGTGATCCCACGAGAAGCCTGTACTGGAGCAGGGTCTTGGCAGGGACCTGCAGACCCATGGAGAGAGGAGCTCAGACTGGAGCAGACTGTGTCTGAAGAACTGACCTCATGAAAGAGTGACCCACATTGCAACAGTTCATGGACAACTCTTGCCTATGGGAAGGACACATGCTGGAGAAGTCTGGAAAAGTAYCTGCCATGGGAGGGACCCCACACTGGAGCAGAGGAAGGATTCTGACTCCTCTCCCTGAGCAGAGYCAGGAAAAAGGTGTGATGATTTGACCATAAGTTCCATTCCCCATCTCCCTGTGCCACTGCAGGGAGGAGGTAGATCTGGGAAGGAGGGAAGGGTGGGGGAAGGTGTTTATTTTACTTCTCTTTTTCCTGCCCTGTTTTTTTTTTTTTAGGAATAAATTCTATTAATATCCCTGAGTCTGTTTTGTCTTTGACAGTGTTTGGTGAGTGATCTCCTCTGGTCCTTAACTCGTGAATCTTTTGCTATATTTTCTTTCCCCCATCCAGCTGAGAAGGACAGTGATAGAGAAGCTTTGGTGGATATGTGGCATCCAGCCAAGGTTAACCTGCTGCACCAGGTTAAACAACCCCAACTCCCTCAGGCACTCCTCATCAGACACGTGCTCCAGATCCTTCACCAGATTCATTGCCCTTCTCTCTGGACTTGCTCCAGCACCTCAATGCCCATGCTGAATTGATGGGCCTAGAACCTGACAGAGCACTCGAGGAATGGCCTCBCTAGTGCCAAGTACAGTGGGACAATCTCTACCCTAGTCCAGCTGCCACACTATTCCTCATACAAACCAGGATGATGTTGGTCGTCTTGCCTACCTGGGCATATTCTGGGCCATGTTCAGGCACTGTTGACCAGTATCCSTAGGTCCTTACCTGCTTGGCCACTTTCTGCTCTGCCCCCAACCTGTAGTGCTTCAGGGACTTGTAGCCAAATTGTAGAACCCAGCTCTTGGTCTTGTTGAACCTCATGCTCTTGGTCTTGGCCCATTGATCCAACCTGGCTAAATCCCTCTGCAGAGCCTCCCCACCCTCCCAGCAGATCTATGGGCCTACCCTGCTTGGTGTCATCTACAAATTTGCTGAAGATACATTCAATCTCCTCATCCAGATCATCAATAAAGATATGAAAAGGACTGATTGCTGGGGGAAACCACTGGTGACMAGACAACAATTGGATGTAGCACCATTTCCACCAGTATCTGGGCCCAGCCTCCAGTCAGCTCTTAAACAAACTTGCACCTGTCCAAGCCATGGGCTGCTGCTTCTCTGGGAAATGCTGTGGAAGACTGTTGAAGGTTTAAATGAAGTCCAAGGAGACACCTCCACAGCCTTTCCTCATGCATCAGATGGGTCAGCTGGTCATAAAAGGAAATCAGGTTGGTCAAGCAGGACCTGCCCTTCCTAAGCCCAGGCTGGCTGGGTCTGTTTCCCTGGTTGTCTTGTATGTGCTGYTAATTAGTTAAGATTATCTGCTCCATAACCTTGCTGGGCACCAAGGTCAGGCTGACTCTTTAGTTCCCAGGAACCTCCTTTTGGCCCTTCTTGAGGATGGGCATCACATTGGCATCTCCAGTCATCTGGGACCTCCCCAGTGAGCCAGGACTGATGATAAATGATACAGAGCAGCTTGGTAAGCTCTTCCACCAGCTCACTCAGCACCCTTGGGTGAATCCCATATGATTATATAGATTCKAAGTGGGAGTCTAAGTGTCTCAGTAGGTCACTATTTCCCCCTGGGTTGCAAAGGGTCCATTCTGCTCCCTATTCCTGTCTACCAGCTCAGCTTTGTGCTGAGGATAAGAGGTTTTACTGTTAAAGAATGAGGCAAAGAAGGCATAAGTAACCTCAGCCTTTTCTTTGTTATTGGTGATAGTATTTCCCCCACATCCAATAAAGAATGGAGTTTATTCCTTGGTCCTCYTTTTGTTGTTGATATATTTATAAAACCACTTTTTTATCTTTTACAAGCAGTGGCCAGATTGAGTTCTGACTGAGCTTTTGCCTTTCTGATTTTATTTCTACGTGACCTACTTRCATCCTTGTATTCTTCCTGAGGTGCCTGCTCCTTTTTCTAAAGGCCATACACCATCTTTTTTATCTCGACTTCTTGCACARCCTCTCCATTCAGCCAGGCCTCTCTCCTTCCCCACCATCTCATCTGTCAGCACATAGGGACAGGTTTCTTCCTTAAAATATGTCCAGCCTTTCTGGAAGKCTGGGTTGTAAGTCTCTCTGTCCATGCACTGAAATGGGAGGAAAAGGAGGAAGAGTTTGTCCCTTCCCATGCCTGCCTTTGGAGGAAAGAGAATCCATGGCACTTGCGRTTACAGAGTTACTGCTCTCTGGAAACAATGAGGTTGCAGAGAGACAGTGYGTTAACTCCAGAACAAACCTGAAATAGTTTAGGGAGCTGCCCCGGGATCAGCTTTGCTGCACTTAAGATCCTGCCCTTCTCCGTATCTGGCTCTCTSAGTGCATTTTCACATTCCCTGTGACTGACCTCAGTCCCCATAGCAACACTTTGGGTGTGATATCTT